CGAGGCACCGCCGTCCCTCGGTGCCGCCCAAATCTCCGAAGTGGCCTGAGGCCGTGCTACCCACGAAGCTCAAGCAGCCCCCGGCCGTGCTCCCGCGTGGGCGCAGAGCTGTCGGCGCCGGGGTGTGCTCGGCCCCTCCTTCCCCCCGGAGGAGATGCAGAAGCCCAAGGGCCGAGGTGTCCGGCTCCTGGGGAAGTACCCGGTAATTGAGGTGGTGCCTACCAAGAGCTGGAAAGGTGGACGCTTTGCTGAGATCGTCCAACAGATGCTGGGCTCCTGCGGCAGTCTGATGTTGGCTGAGTGTTCCCTTTCCATGGGGCTTTCGGGAGGTTGGAGGAGAGATGTGACTAGGTGCCCGGGAAAAGGCAAATCCACTTTCCTGCTCTCTGCTTCCAAAATTCACTCGGTTTTCTAGCGCTTTAGAGTGAGGCATTGAGAATCCTGGGGTTTGTGTCCCATCTTGCTTTCAGTGTGAAAACCAGTCATCTGACCCCTCTCCTGTGCTTAATTTGGGGTACGCTGGGGTTTTTTGGGTGCTCACCTCGAGACCGCCTTGAGCTTTGTTTCTCAAATATGCTGAGGTCTACAGTTCCATCAGAGGCCACTTGCTTTATTGCTGAAAATCATGCTGAAGCTGTTTTTTGCTGAGTACCCAAGTGAGCAGCGCAAATGATAGTCCAGCAAAAACTTGGGCTTACTGAAGGCAGTGGGCAGCTTAACGTCCCTGAAAACCAGCTTCCTAGGCAAACTCAAGGTAAACAAAACCACTATGTCTCAAAAGGTGTCTGTGTAAATCCAAAGTTGTCCATCCTAAGTCATAAGCGTCTCCATGAGTCAAACAGATTTCTTATGTCCAGGCTGCTATATTGAATGGCAGTTTTGAAGACTGTAATGATATAAAGAAGGCAGATAGTGGTCCTGAATAAAAGCATTGCTGCTTCGGTGGCAAAAACTTAGCAACATGAACTGGGCATGCGTGCCCGGTAGTGGGTAAGTAAATGAAACGGACTGCCATGCACCAGATGGTTCATATGCCAGCAGCAACCCCTGTTTCAGTGTGCTCTCTAACGTCATCCTCTGTTATTCACTTGAAGTCCTTCTCAGTCTGTTTGCTGGATCTTTTCAGGTCTGTAATAATTCCTGTCATATCTGCAGTGCCTTCCATCTGAGAATCTCTAAAAGCTTTGTAAATATTAATGAAGGAAAGCTCTGTTAAAGCTTTGGAAAGCAGTGCCTTTCCCTTCTCCTGAGATGGGATTGTTTTCTTTAACTCCTTCTTCCCATTTCCTTCCCCCAGGATGCATCCCTGCTATGGTCTCACAGAACAGGCTTTCTTGTCTCTATGTTCTACTTTCCTCCCATTTTGGGTTTTTCTCCCTCAACTTTCTTACCTTTGCATAACTCTGTTACCCTCCCACTAGCACAGCAAGATGACTACTTACTTTTTCAGCACAAGTAGCCATGTGGCTGTGACTGCTTTGTGTGAAAGTAGCGCATGTACATTTAAGGCCTTTTCTTATCCATCATTTTCTGTTGGAACTATGTTTCTTTGTGTGACTGTGCTTAAAAGCATGCTTTTATCTTGATGCATCTTCTGCCGTATTGGAGCCCTGGGTGTGAGCAGTGTTCTTTTCATGAACCGTGACTTCTGGCAGGTAACATGTGGCATTACAGCTTCTGTTTGAGAAGCTGAGAGGTTACTTGTCCCTCTTGGCTCTGATCACCACAGTGTGCGGATCCTACTCTAGTCAAAAGTAAAGTTGCCATCGAATCTTCTAAATTGGTAGTTTTGTAGAAAAATGTCAATTTGCTGAACTCAGAATGTCTTGGACTCAGGAAACACAGACTGCTTTTTTTTTTTCCCCCCTAGTTGTTTGATTTGTTTGTTTTCACTGGAAAAACATTTTCCTGGTTTGCTGCTTGGGATCTTGAGAGCATAACCTGCTGTACATCAGCTGTGGAAGCTTGGAAATAAGGAAAGCCCTGAAAACCTGGTTTAAGCTGAGGTTGTCTGGCCTTCCAGTCTCTGCGGTAGTCAGCTTGGCTTTGGGTCTTCAAGCCTTTTTATAGAGTGTAGCAAGGCTTCTGGACAGCTGGGCCAATTGGCTTCTTGAGCGAACTCACAAGTGCCTGGCTCTGGGATGCGACTGGCAGGGAGTAGAGAGGTCCCTGGGTCACAAGGGAACCACGGATCCTGGAGCATGGGAGTTCCTGGCTGGAGCCAACATCCGCTGCCCCACCAGCTCCGCCACGGCTATTGTTCTGTGGAAACTGCCCCGTTCGTCAGCCTCAGCCACGAACCCAGAGGCTCTTTGTTTCTACTTTCAGAAATGCTCTGTGTGGCTAAAGTGAAAATATTTTGTAACTTATAGTTTGTGGAGAATCTTTGAAAAATTCTGATTTCATTTTATCTAACGAACTGTTGAAATCTTCCTCAAATTTGATTATTTTAATGCTCTCTTAGTATGGAGTGCTGGAGTTTAGTTATGGCAACAAACGTCCAGCAGTTTACTTAAGGAAGATATTCCAAATTTTTTACTGGGATAGCTGACGGCAATGGATTTGCAAATATGAAATAGGAATTTGGAAGATACTGTAGTTCTTTGCCAGTTATATATAATACCTGAATGTCCCAAAAGAGATTATGTGGACTGGGAGGTCCTTTGGTCTGTGTAGTACCAGTGCTTCCTGATTGATGGAAGGATTGGTGTGTGTATGGGGAAAGAGAGTTTGCACTTTTTAATATGAGCCCATCTAGATGGGAGCACTGCCAAGGTAAGTCTATTTTTAGACCTAACAGTTTTGACAATGTTCCTTTAAGTGTTTTTTTCCCCTCTAGTAAGAATGAAAGAACTAGGTCAGAGCCAGTAGAAAAAGGCTTTTGATCTCTGCAACAGTGTTCTCAAAAATTTTTTTCTTTTTGCTCTTGTGCAGCAGAAGTAAAGGGGAAGAGAGAAATGGTGATTTCTTCCCCCTTCCCCAGTGTTTATTGCACAGGAAAGTGAGAGACTGACAGCACCCACCAGATAATGTATGCAGGCAGGTAATCCCACACAGTTCTGTCGGATCCCCTGCAGCTCTGACCTGTAGTGTCTTTGAGATTCCTGAGCAAAAAAGTGCTAATTATATCATGGAGTTCTTTCATAGTAAGTGTTTAATGAAGTTTGGTCTAACGCCTTTCCTGCTGTGTATAGGCTTTGGAAAGTTCATACATATTTTTGTTGCTGGTCTCCTGAAAGTTTATGTAAACTTCTACCATCCTATGGCTCTTCTGTAGTGTGCTCATGCTATTGAGACCCTGGATCTACCTACAGGAGAGTAATTTTTACTAAGAAGTGGAGCCTTGCTGACATAAAATGACAATGACTCTCACCTTACCCCTGGGTAATCATCAAGGGGACTAGAGATTCGAGGGAGGTTAGGGCATTCTGGTGTGTGGCATCAAGGTTAATTGCCGCAAGACTGAAGTTATTTGCAGCTTGTAACCAGCTTCTATCAAAGTGATCCTCTGAATTTCAGCAATGTGATATACCTGGGTGGAAAGCCTTCGGTGCCTAGCCAACTCCCAATGGGTATTAAATGCTGCCATGTGTTTCCTCAGAGACTTGAGATATGGAGTGCTCATAGATGTGCTATGCCAACTCTGCCAGGAATGTTAAAGTGAGTTCAGGACCATCCAAAGGACAGCTTTGAAACTGAGAGGTTTCAGTGTAGGTACCTATCACGCTGTTCCAGAGTGTGCCCAAAAGTACAACTCTTTCGACAGGTATTCAGTTATTCAATTTTCTTATTCCTACACCCACTCCGGGCTCAGACTAGATGTCTCCATATCTAAGTTTCCAGTGAATGTGATCTAATAGATGGGTTTTCTGCACACTTAATTGCCTGTGGAGCAAAGAAGTAACAAACCCTGTCAGTCAAAAATAGCATGTGCTTCCATCAGTGCTCTCGTTTTCTTCAGTAGTTTCCAACCATTCCTTAGCTTGAGGACATGTGGCTTGGAAAGAGCTGCCAGTTGGAAGCAGGGCTGAGATACATCTCTACCTCTCCAGTTGAAACTGTCACATCAGGTCCTAGCAGAAGAGATGGATAAGACCAGTGGTGGAGGTGCACACAGGACAGATAGGACTAAGACCTGAACTCCAGCCTTTGGTTTTGCTACCAATTCTGTATGTTATTTAGTGACCATTTATTGCAAAAATGCATCAGCATTAAGGGATTCCAGACTAGAACATAGGTCTTCTCCCATCCACATTTTTGTGGCAGCCTTCTTGTTGGACTGTAACATCTATACCCTTCTTGCTCAGCAACAGCACAATTTCAAAAGATGGGGCTTTTCTTCTTGACACACCACCACTGCTCTCCCACCCCCCGAGTCTGCATACAGCTTGGTGGTAGTGTGTGCTCCTCTGCTTTGAACCACTACTTAGAGCTTTCCTATCTAGGTTGCTACAAAGTCACAGTTCATTGCATCTGTCTTTAACAAGACAGATAGACAATGATCCCGCTCCAAAGGAATAATGTAGCTATCTAAGGCCAGGAGTCTGTTTTGGACTGCAAGTTCTCATTTTGAACAGGTACACTACGCTCCTCAGGCATCGTATAGGGAGACTGTGAGCTGAAGTTCAGAAGGGGCATTCCACTTTGGGAATTGGAGACCTGAAAATGAAGTTGTGGCAACAAAGAATGTCGCTGCACTGAAGTCTCTTTGGGTATATTCAGACTGAGTGGGGAGTGGATATGATTGCAGGTTATACGGTCATTTTTCCCTCCGTGCTTTTAGAAATAGAACCCATATTAGGCAGGAATCAAGATACAGTATAGACTTGGTGTGTCACTGCATTTCCTTTGGATGAAATTTGGTTGTAGGATAAGCGTGTACCTGGAAACTCAGAAGTGCTTTCAGGTCAGCCAATTTAGATACAATTCCATGAGTGTTTGGCTTTATTCTTTAAAATACTTGGAAGACTCAGAAGCCCAAGGAGGACATTGATTAATATAAATTGGCTGTTTCAATGCAATCAGATCCCATCATAAGGATAAAACTTGTCAGGTGATGTATGGGCAAAGGGAAGGAATGGTGCTTTGAAAGTTCATGTGCTTTCTCCACCAAGAAGAGAAGGCAAGTGAGCATATGACTAGATGTTAGATGCATTTCCTAACATACTACTGGAAAGTACTGACAAAGTCTGTAGATTTTTTTCCTGAGATGTCCAAGCATGGTGGGTAACATCCAAGGAGGTTGTGTAGCTTTGTTCCTCTTGTTTACAACTTGGTGTATGAGGCCAGGGCAAGCTGTTTGGAGCCAGTTTCTTGTGCTTCCCAGTAT